AGCAACAGTTGGTAGGAGGACTACCCACTTATGAGAAGATAAATTTCAGATATGTCCTAGGAAATAGAACTGCATGGTGGAGCAGATGATACTTGCACGTCCTTTTGTTCGGTAATTAAGGGTTTTTTACGTCGAATTTTTACCCCAGAAGAAAATCACCTATGAACCGTCCAAAGTGGATAACCTCGAACGTGCAAGTCTCTTACGAAAGTAGAAAATACTGTTGAGGGCGTTACGAACTGACCAGCCCGATAAGCACTTACGCAACGCAACCTTTATAAAAATAAGGCTACTAAACTGCGAAAAAAAGAACAAGCTGAACATACTAATAAGGTTGTTGTAACACTCCAAAATGTATGTCTACCTACAGAGTACAAAGAGAACTCAAGAACCGATTTCTGCCCTTAGGTCTGTAGACGGAAAACTGGAGACTGACGACTTGGTTAAAGCATCCCTTCTTTACAATTTCTCTCAATCTGTCTGCACCCGAGAACCGAATACTTTTGCTGCTGTTCCACCCGTTTGACAATAATATATCCACTTCCCCTCTTCTCCTCTTCCCTCTTCCTCCTCCTTGTCTACGATCTAGAGATTTCATGGGCCATAATCATGGTCGAAGTATTCCAACTGAAACCTGTCAAATTAACTGGATGGGATACAAATCCTACACTAGCACTGTAAGAGCTTGCTAACAAATTGTGCGAACCACTGTCCGTCATATACTTAAAGTCTTTTGAATAAGGTGAACTCTCGGAAGAATGGAAGTGAGCATTTAGCATCGCGACCTAGAAAGCAGGCTCACGGCTTGGCTGCGAAAATTACTGTCCTGTCAGTTTAACTTGCATCCCATGTAAAATAATAGAGCGTATTATAAAGAAGTATATATCTGGAATATATCTGGGATATCTGGAAAGCAGCAGAACATTTTGTGATGCCCAACACGGCTTTTGTGTAGGGTACTCTTGTCTCATGAGTGTTGGTTACTCACATGAGAAGTGGACAAAGGCTACATATAAGGGTCCAATTTAGGTTCAGCAATTGAAAGATATACAAACGCCTTTGCGTTCCCCATTGGTGACACAGACTGAAAATGCATCGATTCAATAGAACCATTCAAACAGTAGTCGTTTACATAATTGCATACGAAAAGTGAGCAGCCGTCAGTTTATTGTATTTAGCAGTCAAACACGACTACTCACTTATTAAGGGTGGCTTAAATGCATAATGATAGTACCTTGGCTCACTGGTGATGCCAGATAACAACAGCCAGGAGGTGGGACAAAAGCAAAAATAAGTGACAGAATAAAAGCTCCTTTCGTACTTTTCAGAATTTTGAATGCGATTTGAGGGATTTCAAGGACAAAAACTGTCGGACACGGGAGGAAAATATTCACGAGATAGGGGCGTCATTCTGATAAGACTGTGTCACGTAAGACAGGGGAGTCCACCTTGGACAGCATTCGTATACTAAGGGTCGCAACGAGGTGGGGACCTTAGGGGTCACGAGATCCTTACAAAACTGCAGAGATACGACTAATATGTGCCTTTGATGACTGCCGAGTCTGCGGACAAGGTGACGAAAACAGAAGAAACCGACGCGATCGTCAACAGTTCATTGCGGGTCCACATAAGAGGGAGGGAGATGAATGCATAAGTGATGAAGTAAACGCAAGAAAAAAATTCATAAATAAATATTACTCAAAATAGAAAGATAAACCATTCCAAACTGCATTCACTATATTACAATAGGAGAACTTTTGTGTGTGCAGCCTGGTACAAGTCGTATAGAGCTTGCGTGGATAAACTCTAAAGTTTTTCGTCATTGCTAACAATTAATAGATAGATAAATTGTATACTTAAGGCCTAAGGGGCCCTTTCATTAAAAACTTAGTGCTATCGTAAAAAGAAAAAAATACAAAGTTGGTAATCACAGCTGTGCGTAACTGTATGACAACAGGAATTAATTGTATGTTACGCA